GAGTCTCCCTGATCCCTGCCACTCCCCACACAAATCATCACTTTTCTAAATAATTTACTTTTGGAAATTGCACTATTGTCACAATTTACTGTGAAAAGTATATTTTCATTTTGAGTCTTCCTTTTCAACTTTATTCATCGTATGAACTTAAAACAGGTTTTGTAAAACCCTTACACACACACACACACACACACACACACACACACACACACACCCCTTTTGTACTCTGCTTCTACTTGCACTCTTGCCATCAGAGAGGGAAATTTTAAGTATAATGATTATATTAAATCAGCTCGAGTTTAGTAGGTTAGCCTTTGAATTATCTTTGCCAGACTGCTAAGGAGAAGCTGCCCAAGAGGTCATCGTGACACTGTCAGTCTGAGACAATGAAGCCTGCCCTGTGATTTTGCTGGAATGGGATTAGAGCTTTAAGGAAGTGTTCTTCCTTTGAAGCATCCTTCCCCCCACCCCCCCCCCCCCCCCCTCAGCAGGAGTCCTGTGATTCCAAGAGACCCAGGCCAGGCAGTTTTTATTGATGCTGAAGTTATGGGCAAGTGTTATTTTAATTAAGAATGATTTTTTTTTTTTTTAATCTGTAGTCTTTCTATACAGATTCCTGGGTCCATAGTTATGTCTGTGCCCTGTAAATGGCCATTTTAAAAGTACCCCTATGAAAAGAAGACTGTAGGTAGAATTTAAAAGCATTGTATGATTTTAGCTCTGAAGGACCAGGAAAATGCCAGGGAATATGTCATCGAGGGTTTTTTCATATTTACTCGTTCTTCCCATCTTTTCCACATTCAGGGATTCTCTCTCCTTTTTTCAGCGGTTTTGCCTGTTAACTTAGTTTGCCAAACTTTGAAACCCTCTGAGGAGAGCAATACTGCTATGTCTCCAAAATATTTACATTTGAGGCCGATCTTTTAAATGGTGACATTCTGAAATATTTTTTTGCCTAGTAAGTATCTCTCACTATCCTATACGCAGGGCCCATTGAGAATTAAGACGAAATCCTTCTCTGCCAGCACTGACCTTCATTCTTTTGGGTAGGTTGATTTAATATTGTGCTTTTCTAAACAAGGGAAAACAGTTATAGTTCCACCTCTCATGTGCTTCCTCTCGTATGAGTTGTAAGTTCAATATGTGCACATATGTGAGATTTCAAGTGCAAAAGGAGAATAGAGTAGGAAACAGATTTTCACAGTCCCCGTCTGGGTCCTTGTGTAAGTGCCAATGTAAAGCTATGCTATTCACTGATCAGTGACTAGTATCATGTTGCCTGGCTCTCAGGAAATGGATTGGAAAATCCAAACTTAATAAGCAGATCAATTGGATGGGTGGGGGGTGGTGAGTTGAAATTATTGTATCACATTCCAATGACATGCAGTGTTGTCAAAAACTTCTTTTCTCCAGACGTAAAATTACAGGAGGCACATAGATACCTTTCAAAATGTCAGTAAAGGGGGTTGGAGGGGAATTTAGTTAAGAGTAGTGAAAATTTACCATTTCTCCTGGGAAGCATACACTGAGAGCATCTGGGTGTCTCAGGGTAAAGGGTGAATTTAAATTGGATAGGGGAGGATGTCTATCATGAATCCGAGGAGGTAAATGAATTAAGCTGAATGTCTGCAAGGAAGGCGACTTTTGGGGTGGAGGTATGAGCTCCTAGGCCCAGAGGAAAGTCAGAATGCTTACTCCTCAATTTTTAAGAACTTACCATAGCTGTGTCTGCACCCCACCCCTGCAGAGAAAGGGGAAATAGGATGAGTCTTGAGGGAATCATTCATAACCATTTCTCCCCCTGTCCCACTTGATCCAGCTTAAATATGAGGGTTAGTTTGGGTTTACGTTCAGATTTTCCACCTTTCTGAGGTTTCCTGCTTCCCTCAAATTTCTTGCCACCAACTTGCAGAAATGTCTTTAACATGAGACAAAACATTTCATAGTTAGAGGTAAGACTGTAAAAATTTATGAATTTATATAAAATTGATATAAATCTCCAAGTCTGTAAATCTGAGACTACAAGTACCCCTGTTTATTTAATTCACTGAATGGAATTCGGCTAAACTTAACACGTACTCGATACCTGCCTGTGCCTGGTATTAACAAGGAAAAACCAAAACAAAAGCTGAGCAAGAAAGGCTTCCTGCCTTCGTATGACTGGGATGAGGAGGTGGGAAATCATACGGCAATGGTACTGGGTAGGTGAGTTCAGAGACTGGTGTGTTCCCTGTATTTGTCTCAGTGCTTTAGTCATCATCAAGACTTCTTATTTTTTTAAGTTGATGGATACGTGGGTAAATACAATATCATAAAGCCTGTAAAAAAAAAAGATAGATACAAGATATAATACTGGCTCTGAAGAAGGGAGGAAAACTTTGCCTTGGAGGGACTCAGGGAAGGCAGGAGTTCGAGGGGAGTTATTTGAACCAGATCGTGAGGGATGAATAGGAGTTGTCTCAGCTTCTAGAATAGTATTGCAGCCAGAGAAGTCTTAGTGGGGACAAAGGCAAGAAGGTGTGAAATGGCAGGAATGTTGAGGGAGTTGCAAAAATAGGTGTGAAATGGCAGGAATGTTGAGGGAGTTGCAAAAATTTGATAAGTCTAGAGAGTGAGAGTAATGGCAGTGGGAGAATTGGGACAGGTGAGGATCGTAGCGTGAAGACCTTTGTTCGTTAAGTGACACGGCAGGACTGCCAGGAAGCAGGGCAGGCATGGAAAATGAATGGAAAATAAGGACCAAAGAAACTTCTTTCCTTCTCAGACTTTTAACTGAGGTCGCTCTTGTTTACCTTAAAAAGTATCGGGATTTGGAGCTAATGGAGGGGGTATTTCTTAGTATAGAAGCAACAAAGCTTGATACAGTATAGCAGTGCTGTTCCATTGAGATTTTATATTTTGAAAAGGTTATAAAAGAGAGATTTTGGATTTTCAAAGATTCGAGTTTTATTACTAGATAACTGTGTACTTGATATACTACTTTACAAAATAATCTGTCAGTTAACAAATGGGATTTCTGGGGCGCCTGGGTGGCTCAGTGGGTTAAGCCGCTGCCTTCAGCTCAGGTCATGATCTCAGGGTCCTGGGATCGAGCCCCACATCGGGCTCTCTGTTCTGCAGGAAGCCTGCTCCCCCCGCCCTCTCTGCCTGCCTCTATGCCTACTTGTAATCTCTGTCTGTCAAATAAATAAATAAAATCTTTAAAAAAGAAAAAATCAACAAATGGGATTTCTGCCTGGTTCCTCTGAACAGTGACTTCATATAGGATTTCAAATAGTTAACTTACACATGGAGACTTGTCCTGTGTATAAATCAAGGCCACCTGGTGGAGTGTGAGTTTTCCTCCATAACAACGTGACTTGGATTTCTTGTGCCACCCATAGGGCGTTTCATCGTTATGTACATAAATCTAGTAGAAGGATTGGACAGGATGGCTACTCTCTTTGGTTTAGATGCGTAATCTCCGTAGTTTAGAGAGAAGATCTATAATGGAATTCTTATTTAGTTTCTTTGGTTTGTTTGCATGCCTCTAACTTGATAGGACATCTTCCAATTTTAAATGAGCCCTCCATTAATAGAATTTGGTTTCTTAGACTTAACTTTAAATATACCTGCTGACTATTTTAATGGCAACTCGAGGGTCATGCTGAGTTGAAATTGATCCAAATGCTGCCCGTCTTTTCTTCCCACTTACCCTTCAGCTACGCCTGCTCTTGTTCCTTTCTCCCCCTACTTCCATCCTATTAATTTCTGGATAAAATAACCCCTTATTCTGCATTCGAAGTTACATGTATGTTCTCCACTGCTAGAGGATTTAAAGTAGAGGGAAAGATTCTTGGCTGATCGTATTAGTTCAGCAGTTTGGGAATAAGACGTTTGTGGGGAGGGGTGGCAGAATCTTCGGTCATTGATTCTCTCTTTATAACTTTGCCCTTTTAGCTGAAGCAGATTACCTATGTAGGGCTTCTGGCCCTGCACAGACTGAATCACAAGAAAGAAACTTTACATAAACCATTTATACTAAATGTTTGGTATGCTGGCAACATAAATCAACAACAATATCCATTACAAATTCATCCCTTTATCAGTATTATCTTGATAGAACTGATCCCACTGTGTGGGAATTTGAACCCTGATTCAATACATCTAGCCCTGGGTAATTAATTATTCAGGGCACAGAGAACCTGGCCCCTGCAATGTAGAGTAATTCTTCCTGGTCAGCGTGAACTCCACTGGCAATAATAAATAGAAAACGTCTCTCGTGATGCCAGTATTTTAAAGTGATTAATCATCTTCCCCCCCCTCCCCTCCCCCTTAGTTTTCTTTAACTGGGATTTTTCAGCAATAAATCTTTAACAATACAGGTAGGAATTGTTCTGTAATTAAATTTTTGCCCTGCTTAATTTCTTACCTTTTATGTGTGATTAAGAAAAAAATGTTACATTTTCAGGAGCTCTGATCAAAGTCAAACCAAGAAAAATCCTTTTGTAGAATACCGAGAGACTGTCTATGGAAGATTAAGCTCTTGATTTTGAATATTAGATAGAGCACAGACTCCTAGAGATTGTTAATCAACACCAGTTGGGGTGTCAGATAGTCTGAGGGTTTGAATTGCTTCGCTTGCGTGCATACGGTTGTCTGTATTGGGAAAAGTCTGACATATACATATGTTCCCAAACTGTGAGAATAATTACTTATTTCTTCATTTTCAGATAACCGATGTGAGCTCTTGGAGGAAAGGGATATATCTATATCTATATATCTATATATTTTTTTGCCCTTTTTGCGGGACACAAAGTGCACTTGGTGACGGGGCGGGTAAATGCCGGACCGAGAATGGCCACTAGTTTGAAACCATGCCCCACAGAGCCAACCAGCCATCACATATATTCCGGGTGACAGGGACCGACGTGACATATCTGTTGTGACACACTTCTGTACCACCACACTGTGGCTCGAGGTGACTCCTGTCCCTCCTTTGATGCTTTCCCCTGCTGCAGGACAACACAACGACGCTCGGATGAACCTTGCCATTGCCCTCACTGCTGCCAGGTATGGGGCTGCCACAGCTAATTACATGGAGGTAGTGAGCTTGCTCAAGAAGACAGACCCCCACACGGGGAAGGAGCGAGTGAGCGGCGCGCGGTGCAAGGACGTGCTCACAGGTACGCCGAGGCTGGAGCAGGGTGGGATTTCTGAGCGTCTTGCCTTGCAAGTGTAAGGATTGAATTATAATTTTTCTGTCACTTCTCTTTTATTTAAGCCACATTTCAGAGTCCTATTAATTATATTCCTTATTGTCAACAATGACTGGTTTAACGTGAAAATTTTCCCTTGTGGTACTTGGCAATTTTTCCCCTTTGTGTTAAATAATAATAATGATAATGATAATAATAAAGGCCCACAAAATTCCCACAGCCATGAATGCATTCCATTTGCTTTACAAAAACATGTTATTAATAAAATTAAATAAATGCGCCAAGTTTCAAAGTAAGTGACACAGGAGGTGCATTTCTACATCGTTAGAGTCAATCACTTTCACTTTGGTTAGATTTTCATCCTTGTCCTGATTCTAGGGCCATGGAGTCAGGGTTTCAAAATTACCTCGTACCCTTAAACAGAAGAACCAGCACTGAGATATATATCAGCTCATGTTAACGCTGTTTCCACATTTGAGTTTTAAGGAGAAAGCCGCTTAATCACTTATCCCACTTTCTTCATGTTTGAATGAATGATGCTGGGCACTTTACAAACTAGACAGGACTGAAGTGAAAAGGTGGTGTGCTCTTTCTTCAGCTTGGTCTTGTTTGGGTAAATTTCCTCGGATGCAAGGCTTTGTGTGGCTTTTCAGTAACTCCTCTGCTAGCGTCACTTAGTGTGGTATACAATATACTTCGCCATAGGTCAAGTTTATAGGTGAATTAATAACCCAAAGCATCAGTGAGCAGAGCAACAAATGGGGCATGTGATCGATGCTGCTTTCTTTCACAGGGCAGGAATTTGATGTGAGAGCCAAATGTGTTATCAATGCTACGGGACCTTTCACAGACACCGTGCGCAAAATGGATGATAAGAACGCCACGGCGATCTGCCAGCCGAGCGCGGGTGTCCACATCGTGATGCCTGGTTATTACAGGTAGCTGGATGCCCTGGGCGCCTGTGGCCAGAGTGGGGACTGCGGGAAATCGTCTGCATTTAGTCTCCCAGCACACTTCTCTTAATAAGAGATGGTCTAGCTTGCTGTTCAAAATGAGGAGAAATAAGTGAAGGAACTCTCCCAAAGCACAAAATACAATCCAGACACGGGAATTTCTTAGCTCTTGCACTAAGACCCATTTCTTGGGATTAATGACTTGGGACCTGTTTTTGTACTTCCTTCGCTGTACTCACCTTTAGAGGTCGAGCGTCAGTATTTTTGAATTTTAAAGTATTAAAAGTGACTTTGGTAAAAAATTTCCATGAAGGGCATATTTTAATTAAAATATCAACAAATTAGTCTCAGAAAATGCTCAGATTTGCTTATGAAGAATCTGAAAATGAGGACTGCACAGATATGTGTATGTTTATCATTTTTAAAATGTATTTCGAAAAAAATTACAGCAAGTAAAAATTGGATATAATTCCTAATCTGCATATTAACAGAGATAATTGCCAGTGGAGAAATGGGTAAGGATAGAGATGGGACAAAAATAGCTATTAATTGAAAATCACTTAAGTTGAGTGATGGGCACGTTAAACTGTTCTGTGTTTACATATTTTAGAAAAATTTAACAAATTAAAAAAGAAACATTTAGGTGATTTTAGTTAAGAAATTAATAATGATTAGATCTAATGTACCTGTCAAGACTTCTGTGGAAAAAATTCATGTGACCATGCCAAGAGTATGGAACATGTGTGCTACTTTTATCTCCGTATGTAGTCAGTCTAGTAGCCAAATTAGCAATTTTGTATGGAGTAATAATCTATGCTCCAGCTATCCATTATGATACTCTTTGCTGTTGAGAAATGTTAGAAACTGCTTCCATTCCTAACCTTAATAGAATGGATAAGTAAATTATGTCACAGCTGCACAAAGGAATACTATACAGCAATTAAAATGATAAGTAACTTTAATGTTTCAGGAAAACACTAATGATGTTAGAAAACACTAACAATGTTAAAGTGAAGGATACAAGGTTATATGTGTAGTACGATCTACACTGTCTTGGTATATAGAAATACTAAAGGGTATTCTCTTTAGGTGATATGGTTATGGGTAACAGTTAAAGATGCTAATTTCTAGGTAGTGTGGTTAGGATGAGAGTTATCTCTTCCATATTTTTGTAGCTTTCCATAAAGGTTATATAAATCCTTTAATATTTGATAAACTGGATATACAGAATCTATATTTTGTTTAACATCCATGTTCTCCTGGAATGCCATCCTGCTATGTTCTGTGATACTGCTGCTTCATTATCAGTTTTATTATTTATTTATTATTATAATATTATTATTATGTAAATTATTATTATATATAACATTATTATTATTATTTATTATTAGTAACTAAATTTTCCTGAGGAGAGATACACCTAGTTTGTACACTTCTACCTAGAAAAATATTATACTTCTATCCAAAAAAATATGGAACTCTATTTCTTATCCACCAACTTCCAAGATTTCTTTCTCGTTTTCTAAATGTCTATGTGTAATAAGTAGATCATTAATAGTATTTTCACTTAGGACTGAAGAAAGCAAGGTGTTTTCAGGCTCAATACTAAAAATGTGTGCTGCAGTACTTTAAATAGAGTTTTAAAAACTGCTAGCCAGAGTTTAATTAAATGAGAAGGAGAGAAGTAAATATATGGAAATATGCAAATGTTTCTTGTATATAGGAAATTTTCAACTATAGTTCCATTCATAATTATATGCATTTATTTTCTATTGGATTAAAATATGCAAGGACAGCTCATTTGTAAATTTTTTTGGAGGGGTTTGTTTCTTTAAAATATCTTTTAGACTATAGATATAATACCTGAACTATGGACACACACATTATCATATTTGTTTGGATCTTAGTAGATTCAATATAATCTCTTGGGTATTACGTTTCATGTTTTCTTCACTATTGCCCCATGATATCAGAGGACTTATTATCCCCTATGTTAATTCTGCCACTTAATAATGACATCAGTTAGAATGGGCCAATTTATTCTGTAAACCTTAGTTTACCCATCATTAAAATGGGGAGACAGAGGGTAAATTAAGGTGATACCTTGGTCCAGAAGTATAGAATTTGCTGTTCATCACTTTACCTCTTGCTGACTGCGTGACTTTGGCAAGTTACTTCTTTCAGCTTCTGGCTATTTATCTCATGATAGTACCTAATTTGTATACATTTTGACAGTGATCCTTCAATTATTTTTTTAATTAACATATAATGTATTATTTGTTTTAGGGGTATAGGTCTGTGAATCATCAGTCTTACACAATTCACAGTACTCACCATAGCACACACCCTCCCCAGGCCCATCACCCAGCCTCCCTGCCCCCCGCCCCCTGTTCCAGCAACCCTCAGTTTGTTTCCTGAGATTAAGAGTCTCTTATGGTTTGTTTCCCTCTCTAGTTTCGTCTTGTTTCATTTTCAGTTCCTTCCCCTATGGTCCCCTGTCTTGTTTCTCTAACTCCTCATATCAGAGAGATCATATGATAATTGTCTTTCTCTGATTGATTATTTTGTATCCATTTTATTGACTACTCTTCATGACGTGTCTGGCACGTATAGTGACCAGTGAGTATTTTTGAATGTGTTAACTTGCCCAAATTGAGATTGTTGCTTTTTTTAAAGTCAAAATTCAGTGTAACACCTATAAGGGATATTTTTAATGTAGAGAAGTTAAAATATGAAAACAAAATATGATTCTTCATTTTAGTGCTCAGATAGCCCATGTGTACAAAAGGGAATAAGTAAAAGTAATCACTGTGGAAAAATAGAAAGATACAAAATGAAGAGTGAGAGTCTCTCTTCTTCCTTATGTTCCCTACCTTTTCCCTCACTTCAGTTCTTCTCTGGTAATCCATAACATTTCCTGATGATTCCTTCTGTAAAATTGTGTGTTTATACTTGCACAACTGTCTGTCCTTTTAAAAATTTTACGTGAAAGAGGTCACATTACACGTATAGTTCTGCACTATACTTCATAACATGCTAATAACAGAGGAGGTCGGTGTTCTCAAAGAAATATAAATATGTATCACCTGGATGTAGTATTTTCAAAATGGAATGCCTTTCATAATCCCCCCCAAATTTGTCATTAGCTTCAGGGCCCCTCTCCATGAATCATGAAAGTGTTAGTGACAGTTGGGCCTGCTTCAGATGCAGTAAGGGATCTCATGCTACTTTGGGAGAAATGAATGTCCCCACTTTTAGCTCTTTGAACTCTAACCACTATACATCCTGTCGGAAACCTTAGAAGAGTGGTTTGCAACCTACTTCCCATTCGAGGTCTGTTGCCCTCCATTTGGGATTATGGCCTGGATTAAGGATTTATTCCCTCTTTAGCACTGACCTTAAGGCATCCCAGAGGGATGGTTTTGCTTTCCGTATCAACTCATTCTCTTGGGTGGGGTCAGACTGAAATGCCTCTCTGGGCTCATCGATTAGTCACACTCAATTATAGCTCAAGGGTTTGACTAGGTCTTCAGGGTGGGGAGGGGGTGAGTCAGGCCTCCTGGGGCAGCCTTATAAACTGACTGGTTGGACCTAAGGCCTAACATTTCCACTAACACCTGATCAGTTTAGAAATGCAGTGAGTTCAGTAGCCACTGATTCGTTGGGGGTAGGCTGGTAAAATATAGAGCAAGGACCATGTGTATGCTCTGTTGGGCTGTTTTGGGAGTATCATCATGTCATTTATTAAGCTTGTTATGACCCAAACGTACACGTGCACAGTAGCAACTTTCTTGTTTGGATTATTTTAATTTCAGGAAACCTAGCCAACAGAAATCATTTATTTTTAAAGGTACTCTTTAGCTGACACTAAGAACAAATCTGTAATTTTCATCAGAGTTGTGGCTAGATGCTCTTTCAAAAGCAGCAACAACGCAACAAATGACTAACATACATGAAAATAATAATCTCCTCCTTCTACCTATGGATGCCTTTTACCTCTATCAAGAGGCCAATTTTTTTTTTTAATATTGCTGTGTGCATACTGATAGCTCTAACACTGATTGCTAAGTAGTTAACAATAAATTGATTTCAGTTTAAATAAGGGTACTTCAGGAAGGCAGTGGTCTGCATGAGAAAAATGTTCATTATGTTTAATCCTAGACACACACATAAATTAGCAACAAGCTTTGCCTCCTGATGTCAAGTGAATCATACATATTGAAAAAAGACCTGTCTCCCTGGGCTGTACATACTTTCACTGTCGTTGATAGCTGCTTTCCAACTTCAGCGTGACCTTGCGGAATTAATCCTTCATAAGAAAACAAACTTTTTCCCAAAGGGAGAGTATGAATTAGGTAATTTAGAACTGATGACAGGTATTTCCAAGTGGATTCTTAAAATTTTATACCATTCATTAGGCGCTTTGTCTTCCCTCTGTGCCTGTTAATTTTATGCTTGACACATATGTCTTTGCTTAAGCAGTTGATTCTCTACAGGTTCCAGTTACGTGTGTGTTGGTAACCATCACCTTCACCCTTTAAACCGCTTTTACTGCATTGAAAGGTTTTCGAGGATTCAGTAGTTGTGCTTTTCTAATAGCATTTCATGTCTAGGTGGATGACTATTACAATTTTATGTTAGTTTATCAGGTTTATTGGTTATTTAAGCACATTGTATGATATCTGGTCCATAAAATGATCATACATAAAATATGCCAACATAGGGGCGCCTGGGTGGCTCAGTGGGTTAAAGCCTCTGCCTTCGGCTCAGGTCATGATCCCAGAGTCCTGGGATCGAGCCCCGCATCGGGCTCTCTACTCCTTGGGGAGCCTGCTTCCTCCTCTCTCTCTGCCTGCCTCTCTGCCTACTTGTGATCTCTGTCAAGTAAATAAATTAAAAAAAAAAAAAAAAAATATATATATATATATATATATATATATATATACACCAACATATAGTGGGCTCCTTAAACATTAGGATATGGAATTTCTCCTTTTCTTTCAACGTGGTACTGTTGATCACATTGAAAACTTGAACTCTGAATGAGTTAATTCCCAGTCCCAAAGTGACTGATTTAATGTAAGGGTATATTAACCCAGGATCAAATCAGTTGCTTACAAAATACATAATTAACTAGTTTCTTTTAAGATTTTTAAGGGAGACTTAGGACAAACACAAAGCAAAAAAAAACATATAAAATATTATCTACTTGTAGTTTTCAACATATAAAAATGAAAGTAAATTATTTTCTTTAAGTAAGACTGAGTGAAGATGAGATCTTAGCTGAAAGCTTAAATGATTGACATGCTTCTGTGGTGCTTTCTATATATGCTAAATAGAACTGTGGCCCACTCTCTTGGTGTCTCTCAAGTGTGCTGTAGACCGTGTTTCTTTATACAAAGGATGTGTGGAAATGGCAGCATTTCATGGAACTGATGGGTCTTTGCAAAGAAAGACTCCTACTCCTTGTGGTTTACATAAAGAAGGTGCGTTAGCTAAGCTGATTATACATTTCCTTTTTTTTAAACAAGTTATTTTGTAGATCTTTGTTTTTTTATTTTTTATACTTTTTTAAAGTAAGCTGTATGCCCAACGTGAGGTTTAAGTCATGACCCCAACATCAAGAATCGTGTGTTCTACCAACTGGGCTGGCCGGGGCTCCTAGACTTCTTTTTCATGAAATAATTATTTTGGTTTGTTTTTAAACATTTGTTAGTCTCTCATCCTTACACAAGTGAATCAATAGGAGTTTTTTTTTTATTTTTTTCAAGGGAATAATAAACATAAAAAGTTGACTGTTTGCCCTTCAAAATTTGTGGGTAAGGGAGGGACTTGTTGAAACTTACTTAAACCAAATGGAATTATGTTTTTTATTTAAGAAATTTCATTAACGGAAGCTGAAGATACTGTTAACATCGGCTTGCTATGAGAATTCAGTAACTAAGGCTTTGCAGGGACTCTATAAGCATGAGACGTCAAGATTCCTCCCACACTTTATCAACTTCTCCAAATTTCTTTGAATGGTTAATGAATACATTAAAATAATAGTTTCTACTGATCTACTGACACAATCGAACAGGGTTTGTTAATATGTATTTATAGTTGCCTGTTGTTTCAAGTATGTTTTATGCTTTGGTTTGAGAATATTAAGTATACATTTAGTGAAAATTACTGACTAATATTTTGGAAGATTTTATGTAATCTGTCCGAAGAGGCATCCTTGAACCTTGATTTAATAGCGTAATACCTTAGGCTCTTTCTTCTGTTTAAAGACTGTCATTGCTAATATATCCCTTTCCTTTTTGACCTTGTCCTGATACATTCTTATTTAGGTAGTAGGATAAAATGAGCCCTTTTCTCATTGATGACTTCTTGAGGTTTCTGTAGAATTGAAATAAAGTGAGAAATCTCATATTTGGTGAAGTGGTATAAGTCCATCTAGGTTACAAAGGAGTAAAGAACTTTCTGATTACATTTTAGTTTCTAGAAACTTAGACCCCTGGCTTTTCTCATGTACTTCTGAGACCTTATGCTGAAAGATGTGCCAAATGTCAAATGTCCCAGGAAAATACTTTTCATAGACTTGAAAAAAGGTTGAAGAGCTCTCCTTAACTGACCATCATAAAAGGAATTAGAGACATTTATCCCACTGACATTATCTGATGTGAATGGTCCAAGGAATATAAAAAAACCAAACAATTGGAAGGTGAAGTCCGCTTTCTTAATTAACCTTGCATTGTTGAAATGGGGAGGGCTGGTTCTGCTGTGAATTTTATTATCACACTTGCTCCATTCTTTTTTGTTACCAAAACTATTTTTTTCCTTTAGGAATTTCTACAGTAGAGCATTGGCAGTAAAAGTAATAGTTCACGTGTTTCTTGTTTGCTTATATGACAATTAGTGAATAAAGTAGTTTTTACAATGCAGATATAGGGCTAAACTTCTACTAATTTCAGAAATGTATAACCCTTCTTTTTATATCAGCCCCGAGAGCATGGGACTTCTTGACCCAGCAACCAGTGATGGGCGAGTTATCTTCTTCTTACCCTGGCAAAAGATGACTATAGCTGGCACTACTGACACGCCAACTGATGTCACACACCATCCCATTCCTTCGGAAGAAGATATCAATTTCATTTTGAATGAAGTGCGGAACTACCTGAGTTGTGACGTTGAAGGTAACTGATGCATTCCTCTGAGTTTGTTTTCCTTCTTTTATACCTCTCAGCCGGGCCCAGTTCTCACTGGTAACTGCTGCATCTGCAGTCTGACTCCTCTTTACACCAGGCCGGCTCTAATTCTTCTGTACTGACCACTTCTTCTGGAAGATTTGGGGCCCGAATTATAGCACAATGGGAAGAAGTTGCCTTTGATCCTCTGTACTCTCTGCCTTCACATGAAGAGAATTGTACAGTCCTTTCCTGATAGTTTCTAAGGGCTGTACATGAACCAACGTGAACTCCAACACTCATGCTCTCTGAGGAGAGAATGAAATGTTTGCATCACGATTTAATTTCTAGAGTTTAGGAAGATCTGATTCACAGATACAGGATATCCATAGGAAATAATTAACCAAAGAAATGAGAGGATGGACATCTACAACCGAAGAAGCTTAGTGAGCTTTACCATATGAAAAGTGGAGTGTTGACAGTGGATTTAGCTAAGTAGGATAAGTATGCTTTTTTTAAATGGAAAAAGCCAAAGTTGGTGTCTTTTCCCTGCTCACCTGGGCGTACTGTACTTTTAGTTTGGATGTTATAGTATTTTCTCCACTGTGCATATATAACGAATAGTTTTTACCTGACTAGTTCCAGAAGTTTTCCAACATTATCCTGTATTTCCTTCCTTGGTTCATAGCCTCACCCCCTAGTCACTCAAGCTAGAAATGGTATGCCCGTCTATGGTGATCCTTCTCCCTCCACATCCCGTCCGGTTCCTACCCATGCTCCCTCTGAGGTATCACAGAGATCCCCTCTCGTTTCATTGTCCCGGTCACATCAGCGTCAACTTCTCACTCAAACAGTTACATGGGCCCTCTAACTGGCTTCCAGAGGTCAGGCCCCGGTGTCCCTGCAGGCTGACCCTGCCACCGGGACCCTCCTAAAATTCTCATCCTCACCTCCTTGCTCAAGAATATCCCTGGGATGTCTCCTCCGTTGACTTTGGGAGAAATTCTAAACTATCTCGCATGCGCCCTAAGGCCCATCACAACTGGTCTTTGCAGCTTCATACTCCACCAACCCACCTTTATGCATTTTATAGTCTTGTTCTTTCCAAATCAGTTCATGCATTTTAAACCTCACGCTTTGCTTAGGAGGAAGCTTCGCTTTGGGATGCCCGTTCTCCCAACTTCTCATCTTGCCAAAGTACTATTTCTACTTCAGAAACCGTCTATTCTTATCCTTTGTACTTCCATAGAACGTTGGTCAAGTGTATCACAACGTTGTATTATAGGGAAGAGTCTAAGATACACTCTTACTTGGAGCTCCTGGACGGTAAGGGTTCTTTATTCAGCTTCCAAGCTTGTTGACTGTCTGGGATGCTACTCATCATTGTTTTGAGGGAAAATGAATTAGTAATAGGAGCTTTTAGAGTTTTTGATGCGGGTAGCGAAAATCTTTCTATATTAAGATAGAAATTTTAAGATTTTTGAAAAATAGTTTTCATCTATCTATATCAGGAATCTTCTGTAATGTTAGCTTCCGTGGAGGACATGCAGAGACACAATTTTCTTCTTGATGTGACTCACTAAAATCTATGAATCTTTTTCCCTAAAAGATTTTTTTGTCATCTTGTGATCACACATTTGCAAACAAACAAAACAAACTGCTTTAAAAAAATGGTCCCAGGGACTCTTCTAGTTTAATTGAACGATCCATATTGTATAGTTTTAGTTTCTTCTGATTTCAAGTAATGGATGTCATTTCATTTTGAGCAAAGTCTTTTTGGGTACCTATATTCATGGCACAAATATATTAACCAAATGTAACTGGGATCTACGGGGCTAACATTTATACGCTCACACGCACACACCCTCACAGAGACTTATTTGGGAAATGGTCATGCCTTGTTTAATGTCCGCTGAAATTTCAGTACTCAAAATGCAATGCAATTTTAGCTGGATACTTTTTTTTCCCCTTTTGAAATCTAAGAGCAGTTTCATCTGGATATGATTGTATTTTAATGGATTGACTATTGTTAACAAACCCTCTTCATTTCACATTTGCCTGAGTATGATATTTGTTAAAAGTGCGTTTATATTGGGGCCTAAGAGCAAGCAGGAAGTTTAGATTGTTGGAGCAAGAAGTAAAATTAATTCAAGAGCAGAGAGCTCTATGTTGACAGTTTCCAAATTCTTAAAGTTCAAATGCAGTAAGATGAGAAATCTAACTGCTTATATGTGCTGAGAGGCTGCATGTGCTGGAAGCAGGTGTAGGTTCCAAGAGCCGCTGTGCCCATGTCGTAGGTGGGGACTTCCACCAGTGAAATGAGCCTTGGGCTGTAGCACAGACGGAAGCCTGCACCCCTTCCTCACTTTTATTCTGCCTGTGAATGCAGAGGGCACTGAGCAATGCCTGCTGGGACTGGGGTGGTCTGGGAAAGTGTTGTCAATTCACATGCCTTTTGGTAGTCAGGTGAATTGGTAAAACTGGCAAAAAGGTTTTTTGTTTTGTTTTGGTTTGGTTTGTTTTTGTTTTTGTTTTTGCCAATTTTGATTTTTGGTAAAAGTGGCCAAAATTCATATCTAAACACTATAAATCAGGCCTATCTCCTAATAGTCCGGGGACTCTTGGGCTTAAGAATTCCCTGGGGAATGGGGCGCTTGGGTGGCTCAGTGGGTTAAAGCCTCTGCCTTAGGCTCGGGTCATGATCTCAGGGTCCTGGGATCGAGCCCCGCATCGGGCTCTCTGCTCAGCGGGGAGTCTGCTTCCCCCCGCCCCCCCGCCTGCCTCTCTGCCTACTTGTGATCTCTCTCTCTGTCAAATAAATTAATAAAATCTTAAAAAAAAAAAAAAAGAATTCCCTGGGGAGTAAATATCTGGGGTAAAAGCAAAGGTGACAGCTCTTCCATATATTTCACTTACTTCCCTGTGCCCACCGTCTGTTACACCTGTGCCACTTATCAACTTGTTCTTTTTAAAAACTAGTAATTAATTAATAATCCCTTATAGTTTGGTGGGGATTTTTTTCCATTTGTATTTCTAGTTGATCAAAGGCCTCATATTTAAGGGGTTTCCCTCAGTCCTGGAAGAATGCAGTTTGCTACTGTGTGCTTTTATCTTAAGTGGAGATGTATAAATATGTATTTTTTCAAGGAATTTTGGAGTAACTCAATTTCTCTTCCATTATGATGAAGGGTAGAGAGGAAGTCAGCTTCAGACGCTACTCAGTTCTTTGACGGTAGGCTGGTGCTGCCCATCTTTTAGCCGTTCCATCTGTCAATAATGGCTAATACATGCTTTATTTTTTAAAACTCTGCAATTGCCGAACACATTTTAGGCTAGACACTCTACGGAGCATATTGCCCATACCATCTGGTTCCTCATGACAACCTTACCCGGTATATTTTGCTGTTCCCACTTTATAGACACGGAGACTGAGGCCCCATGACTGTGAGCCTCTTGCCCACAGTTTGTTCATGTTGGAGCCAGGATGACGACAAGTCCGTCTAGCCTCAGAGTACCGCAGGGTTCTCTGACTGGTAGTTCCAGGTTTTATGATGTGATGTTATATCCACCAGGGAGTGGATTACGTCTCTCATTTCATTTCCTGGAAGCTGCTAGACACTTGCAGAATGTTAATGACCTTGGCTCTGGACTGACCTTATTTGGATTTGAATGTTAAAGTAGAGGAGATTTCATATCTCATAACTAATCCCTCGGGCGAAGCAGTCTTCTCTGCAGATTGGAAAAAATCAAGTTTGTTTAGTTCCTAGAGCAGTAGTTTTGAAATGTTTTGCATTCACTAAGGTTGACATAATCATTTTAAAAGGATTTATTAAATGGATGAATAAGTAAAATTCTGACAACAGTTTCTGAGCCTTCCCAAATGGCTATATCCTTAAGGAAGAAAGAAAAAAAAAAGTGTCAAATCTTAACACTCCATGCTGTTCTCAGCAGCTGCCACACTTCTGCAGAACGCATCGGAACAATTCTGAAAAGCATTTTGCATGTTGGGAATAAAACCATGTCTTCTTTTACGGTTTAGAAAGCTTTCCATTCACAGGCTGAATTTTCTAGATTACTTGTTTGTTCTTTTCTGAAATGGGTAATTGATAGTTGTGTGGTGTGTATCGGGTGAGGAAGAAAAATGATCTTTTGAAAAATGTATCATTAAGTCAGCCGGGGAGAGGTTAATCAGAAGGAGGCAGTGGTGAAGCGAAGCTATGACTTGAAGGGATTGAGAGAGACAGGAGATTTGCCGAGTGCTTTATTCGTGTAGTTTTTCCGGAGTGTTTCTCCAGGCAGCGTCTTGAGTCGTACACAGGTTTTCACATATGCAATTAGTACTGTTTATAGATTGCCTGTTATTCAATTAACAACCGAGCTGGCCATATCGACTCGCTGCAGACCTGCCTTTTCCCTGCCAGAGAGTGTACCGGGGTTATCAACTTACACAGGCTTGGATGTCTTCCAGCTGTTTAATGATAGTGTCACACGCTCTGCTTTTTCTAGTTTCATTAGTTTATAAATGTAATATGGTATCTTATTTCTGTGATTAACACTTCATTTCAGCAGGTTAAACATGCTGGTAGAGAAGTATTGATTTCTGACACTATTTCCCCTGTGTTCGTTAAGATATTTTCACATGCTTTTTATTGATTTTCTGCAAGCTGCAAACATGAGAAAGAACACCCCAAAACGTATGGCTAAATAACCCACGTGAGGCAAAGCCGCGCATTTGGCTCTTAATTGTCACTTCCTGTGGGCTTCATTTTCTATTAATTTTTAAAACAAACACTTGTCTTGCCAAGGTGTTAGGAGTAGAAGTATTCATTATAATTTGAAACAATTACACAGCACTTAGTCTTGTCAACCAGCTGTGAAAAATGTCTATTGAACTTTTTTTACATTTTACTCTTTATATATTATATACACTAAAACCTGAAGGAGTTATTCATTGGGATTGCAGCAAAAATAATCCTTAAACGTGATGGTAAAGGGACTCTCTTTTTGAA